TGAACAACGGTGGTGGGACTGCCTGATTGAGTAGCGTCTGATGGGTGGAGGGGGGGACAAAGGGTGAAAAGTCAGGACAACTGTAATAGCGTAATTAATAAAATATAATTTAAAGAAAGGTATATTTATTAATGTATGTTAACTATATTTATTCACATTTTAATTAACCCCTGTACTCCAACTGTGGTTTCATTAACTTATTCACATAATATTAAGACTTTGGCACACCTTCATTATTTGAATTATTTCATTTCCACTTTAACAATACTTTTGTTGATCTTTTATAGTTTTCTCATGTTTTATGCCAATTCATGCAGGAAAATCTGATCTACTATAATTAGAAAGTTTTTGAGATTTCAATATAATATTCATTTAGAAGGATGGGATTCTTTTTAGCTCATCTTTTCTACTTTTTGTACTTGAATTTTTTAATGTAAATATTTCTTTCAATATATAAAACTTTTGAGCTCATTGCAAACTGAAATAAAAAAGTTATTTTCTTTATTTCATATGGAGACATTTCTACCACTGTAAATCAAATCAGTCAAGTGAATAAAGTCAGCTTTGTAATTTACTTGAAATTACAAAGTGGGCTCTCTATAACATTGTACGTGAATAGTATTTTAAAGTTGAGCTAATCCTAGGCTACTCCTTAAGCATCAAAATGCTTCCAGGCCATGTTCCTTTCAATTTTAAACTTAGCAAACTTAGTAGAATTGTTAAGTTTGCTGGTGTAAATACAAATAAACATATATAAAACCTAATCTACCAATACATTCACTTTCATGCCAAAAAAAATGAATTTGGGATTAGATAATCACCTATCTCCATTAAGCATGGATAATCTAGAACCTCATACATTAGGATTTATTCATGTTGTAATTTCTTATATACAATCTTGATAGTGGTCAATATAAAAAATAAAGATTTAATTTTCAGATGCACGTTTGTAAGGCAGGAAAAGGCCTAAGTAGATTTCTTTATCCTTTAAGCGAAACTCCATTACAACAAAAATTTCTGAAAAACAAACTATCTTCCAGCCCCAGGGGTAGTCCACTTATGGGTAGTACAGGATTCATGCAATACTATTGGATAAGGAGAATTTAGAAAATTCGTTTTAATCACTGGATAGAATTGAACTCAGAATACTAAGGAATGCAAACAATGACCAAATGTGTATTTTTTATACTAATAGGCAAATTAATGTTGGCTAATAATCCAAGTGTTAAAAAATAATCAAGGAACTCAGAAGTTAAGAATGTGAGCTTTGAGGTCAAGCTGCCTAGGTTTAATCCTGACTCTACTACTAATAATTATATAAACTTGAGTGTTTCATCTGTATAATGGGGATTTGTGAGATGAAGAATTAAAGGACCCAGCATATTGACACTTACTTTTAAGAATTTTAAATATATAGTATTTTAATTTCCTTAATCCTTGATTTTTTCATTTTGAATTCTTCCACCACATCTTATTTGCAAAGGTACATAATAAATAAGAATGATATAGTAAAACCTAAGTTATACAGAATGCTTGGGAAATGAATCCTTCTGGACAGGTTAAATTTTTCATAAGGTAACTTTATTAGATATAAAGAAAGATCTACAAATAGGATAAAACTATTTCCTAATCCTATTGCACACTTCCATGCCTTCTTAGAAAAAGCAAACTGCTGATAAACTTTTTTCTTGATGAATAACAAGAATAAGCCTACTTGACTGCCTGATTTTTATTAACATGTAGTTAGAAATCAAGGTGTGTGTGAAAAAAAATTACATCTTTGTTTTTACTAATGTCTAACTGAAAATTAGCAACTCCTTCCATTTTGAATGTAAGCAATAAACAGCTGTAACTGCCAGTGTCACCAATAGGAATCACAGATACTTTATATCACAACTGTTGCAAGCTCTGGAAATATTTATGTTCATCATTTCAAAAATTTTCTTTCTAGCCTCATCACTTGATCTGAGTTAATAAAGCAGAAATATTCCTATATCAAAAATTTGTTTTTCTAACATTTTGAGAGTACTTCAAAATGTTTTCTTTTATAATGCTATGAATTTTATTTTATAAACTTAAAAATAATATTTTTAGAGAGTCCATGGTTTACCAGACTACCAAAGTGGTTTGCAACACCAAAAAAATGTAAGAACTCTGACCTCAAATCAGTTTCAGTCCACTGTGCTGTTAATTCGGAGCTTTAACATGTTTCATTATACTTTTGTACTGAAAATTGTTTAATGGGAGTAACAGAAATTGGCTTCCTCAAGACAAGAATGTTTCCTGCCAACCTTGAGCCCTGGTTTCTGAAAGAACAAAACAGAGGGAGACATGATTAAAATTAGATGCAGATGGCACTGAAAGTAAAAACATAACATATCCTACTCTTCTACTTTCTAAATTAAGAGACAATATGACACTCCATTCAATAAATACTGAGGTCAGCTGCATGGGTTCAAATTCTACTACTGCTGCCATTTATTAGCTGTGTGACCTTGGGATGGTAACTAATCTCTATATGCATCAGTTTCTTTATTTGTATAGGGGATTAACAAACACAGTATCTGGTACATGATGTGTTACATAAATACTACCTGTATTATTATATTCTTACAGATTTGTTTCACACTAAAACTAGTGTCCTTTCACTAACATTATGACACCTGAATGACACAATAATCCTGTGAGAAAGGACAGCTATTATTGTGCCCAGCTTAGAGTAGAAAAAACTAAGAAACCACACTATATCAAAATAATTGGAAGTAATAGAGCCAGAAATCAAACCTGGATTTCTCCCTCCACTTCAATGGCCTACCTGTGTTTCTCCTTTGTTAGAATGGTTAAAAGAACATAGAAAAGATGACCAGGGGGAAGGGGAGGGGGCAGGTGTCCAGTATGCCAGGAGGTGAGCAACTCACTGTGAGTAGTGCTTTGCTACTCACAGTGAGTTGCTCTGACCAAAATAATCTTTATCACCTGGGAGTTCATTAGAAGTGTATAATTTCAGGCTTCATCCCAGCCTTTAAGTCAAAACCTGCATTTTCAACGAAATCCCTAGATGATTTGCACAGACATATTTTGGCATGTATAATGTGCACTTTTCTGCCTGTTTTTGAGGGAAAAATAAGTATGAGGATTATACCTGGGTAGTACCTGAAATACCTTGTATCTGTTCCAGCATTTGTAATAATTTGTTACATAAAATTTCTTGCACCATAATATGTACAAAAATAAATCCTAAAATTCCTTCATAATACAAAAACAATATTTTATATCTAAATATAAATAAATAATAAAATTAAAAAATTAAACTGAATATTTTTGTCCTAAAAGTTTGGGCCAAAAACGTGGGCGCGCTTTATACACGGCAAAATACGGTAGCTTGAGAAGCACTGTTGTTTCACGAATTGCTCTAGTGACATTATGTTATGGTCTCCTGAACAGTATACATTAGCTCATTTATCACAGGCCTATGGAGTTTTTATTAGGTAATACTTTCTTGTAACAGGAAATAACTTGTTGCTTCCCTTTTTATAGTGTATTTTAAAAACCAGTTTATATTTCCATCTCACTCTTAAAGATTTTCACTTCATTAAGTGGGATCGTTAAAAAATGTTAGGAAACTTTAAACAAATCAGTACTTACCTTTAAATTCCTTTTAAAAAGTAATGTTTTACTAACCTTTGGCTGAAGGAAACACTTGAGAGCAAACTCTCCCTCTCTACACTTCACATCCAGTAAACTGAAACAGGCCAATCCTATCCTAAAATTTCTTCCCCTGGATGTTTCACTAAGTATTGTTTTCTGACCCAAAACCTCGACTTGAGTTTCGCAAGGCAGTGGCATTAGGAATGGAAACATACCAGTAGGAAAAGCTAGTAAACCTATTCCCAGACCTAAAACTTGGCAGATGGTGCCAATAGATTAGAGGCCAGTAAACAGCCCGCCTTTATCTTCCTAGCCTCCATGCTAATCAATTCACAGGTGAGCTTCATTTCTATGCTGCTCTAATACTGGGAAGAGGTCTATACTACGGGCCTGCTGATGTCATCATTGATCCTCCATGATCACAAATACACTAGATTAAGGCTAGCTGGGGGTGGGGGGTGGCGCGGATCAGCGGCCCCGCTAGATTCTATTTTAAATGCCGATTCCCATTTTGAGGGACATCTCCGCCCGGTGGTTAATCGATCAAAACCGGCAGGAGATTAAATATCTCTCACCTGCTCCACCAGAAACTTCAAAAGCTTGGGTCAACCTGACCTAAGTATCTAGTAATTAGTCCAAGGCACCGCCCACCACACATTCCTGATTGGGTGCGTGAGAGGCATGTGATCGTGCGCGCTCTTACCAAGCCGGGGAATTCCATTTCCTCTCCCTCCCAACACGTATAAACACTTAGGGGCGGGGCTTCAAGGAGATGGCCCGGCCCAGCTCCAGCAGGCACCTCGTTACATCTCGCGAGACTTTGTGGGTTTGTGGGCGGGCCCCCATAGGGAAGAGCGCACAAAACTGCTCTTAAGTCATTGCAGATCAACTGCTCCTGTAAATCAGCCACGAGGTTATCGCGAGACCGCCTCAATATCAAGTGAGGAAATTGAGGGAGACGCTGCGGGGAGGGGCGTGGGGCTGTACCGCGCAGCTGCCGTTTTCATTACCTTCCTCCCATGGTTTCCTTCCGGTTCTCGATGCTTCTCTGAGTCTGAGGATTTCCGCTGTCCGTCTACCCTTCCCCCAACCTGTGACCCGCCTCCGGCCCCCGCCCTCCCAGTCCAATCTCTGATCTGTTTAATAAGAAGGTGCTGTTCTGAAAAAAAGGAAACGTGGGTAGTACAGACAGTCGGTCCTGGACGTGGGAAGTACACCGTGTCCCTGTTCCCTTGCAGTGATTCTGTGCTCGCGACGGCGGCGTTGGCGGACTGATACGCGGCGGTGAAGAGGCAGGAGGAGGGGGGAGGGGCGGAGCGTGGCAGCTGGCAGTAGTTCCGTCAGAGCGGACATCTTGTGGCTGTGTCGTGCGCGTGAGCCCCGTAGGGCCGGGGAGGCACCAGCTGCTGCGCGGGGAGGAGGCCGAGGCCGCAGCTCGAGGGAGGCCCCGGCCCCTCTGTACGCGTGGGTGTGGACGGCTAGGGGAAGGGAAGGGAGGTTGGCCCACTGGCCGGCCGGGTAAGAGGGGAAACAGGCCTTGAGTGACTTGAGTAACTAGCCTGTTGGGTGGAGTAGGGTGGGAACGCTTGAGAAGCCGGGGCCTCTCCAGTTTAAGGGGGAGGGGGAATGGGCGCGTCCTCGCGCCTAAGCCGGAGCTTCTAGGGCCGCACGGGCGCGTAGTGGCGGTAGCTAGGCCGGCGCGCGCGCTCTCGGGGGCGCGCTGGAAGGCGGAGTGTACGGTGGCGTCAGGGGCGACACAGAATAGCTTTAGCTGCAGGGGTAGCAGCACACATCAAATCTCTCTCCTATATTTCCTTCCCCTCCCTGGACGCATCTTTGAATAGAAACCGAAAGAAACTCGGCGTCCGGAGCCTCCTGTTTCCCCCTCCCCCCAGCCTTTCTTTGCCCTAGTGACGCCAGCATAGCGCCGACTAGGCCCCGGCTCCTCCTCTGCTGGGCTCTGGACCGTGCCCCGCACCCACCCCTTTCTCCTACGCCTCTTCCTCTCCCACCCGGGTCTCTTCCTTTCGAGAGGCCGGGAAGTCAGACTTGTAGCCACCCCTCCGCTCTTCCCGTCACTCGCCCCCTCTTCGGGCCGAAGCACGGCATAGAGGCTGTTGGTGGCCTTGCCACGCCACCCCACCCACCCCGGATCCCAGCCGTTTTGAGGGACCTGGATTCATCGGGGTCTCTCCGGGGCCTGTGGGAGTGCTGATCTGCTCCGTTTTTGCAAAAGGCGCCTGTGTCTGGCAGAGCCGGTGCGAGACGAAGAGACAATCCTTCCCTGCCGCCGGGATAATCAAGAGTTTTGTCCGGACCTTTGAGCACAGACCGAGATAGTGAGGAGCCAGACGCAAAGCACAGACTATGGCGCTGAAACGGATTAATAAGGTAACCCTTACAGCTCTAGGGGATGGGGTCGTGGGAGGGAAGGAAGGTTCAGACCTGGAGGAAGCATGGGGGTGGGGGAAGTATGATTGTGAAAATATCCTTCCTTGGGTCATTCTTCCACTGGGGATGGGGAACTCGGAAATACTTGATGAAGAAAGGAGGTTTAAAGCTAGTGAACAAGACTTGTGAAGCGAGTGGGGTACCTTGAGTATGTTTCAGTGAAATCGGTGCAAATTCGGGCATGAGAAGAATGGTTTCAAGCTCCTCGGTTCTGCTGAGGGAACAGTCCCGTTTGAGGGTCAGAATTGGGAAGAGGATGTCATGATGCATCCTGTTCTCGGTGCTTGAAAACTTAGCTGTAAGATCAAGGTTCTAGGCTTCGTAGGGTGAAGAAAGGTGGGAATTTCAGCGGGGAGAAGATCACAGAAATCCAGCGTGTCCCCGAACTCGACTAGGGGTTGGGGTAGAAGTGTCTTGGCACCCGAGAGTAGTGAATGAGTCTAGTCAAAAACTCTTAATCACTCCGGCAAGTTACACAAGAATAAGTGGGGATGGGAGGAGATGGGCTGACACAGTGTTGCCACTTCCTATGGTTCAGGTTTTTCACGCGAGGCTGTTTATCAGAAGCACACCGGGAACTGATGTAAAAGCCTTCTGGAAGCTCCCTTTCTGTTTTGGCTTTGGGGGGGGGGGACGAGGTGCGAAGGCAGTAAGCTAAGGATATGCGTGCCTATTTTTGCCTCAGCCCATTTAATAGCACCTTCTGGAAAGATTGTTTTGCTACATAAAACGTGGTTTGATACCAACCTGTCGATCTCAGTTGAAAAAAACAAATAGGATATTTCAAGGCTCGGGGTGAGCGGAACCTCCACCTCCGGTGGTTTAGTCTCATTTTCTTGCTCTAACTTCTATCCCGCATTTTAAGATGGCGGCTGCTTTTACTGGTTCAGGCTCTTTCCGGCACCTCCTTTTGTAATAATATGAAATAATACTCCTTGTTAAATGTTAACTTTTACGTTATGTCGTACACTGCCCTAAGACCTCCTCCTCAATACTTAAGCTATATTCAAACTCAGACCGTATTTCCTTTTTTTGTAACTTGCGTATGTGTAGTGTGTTGGTTCTTGCACAATCGAAGAGGGTGGAGTATTTACAGCTAACTTGAAGAAAAAAATGTAATGGAATAAATTCAGCCTTACTAAAACTAGGAGACAGGGAAGGTTGTAGGTTAGAATCTTTGGTTTGATGAGTTACTTTTTTTTAAAAAGAATTCAAGTGGAAGGAAATGCGAGGTCCTGGCTTTACTAAGATAGACCTGATACTGTTTAACTTTATGTGTGACTTTGGTGTTTAATTGGCAAAATTGGTCTACTTGAAGATAATGGTTTACTATCTTAACTTAGAGGTACTCAGTGTATTGATCCTGAAGTCGTTGATTTTTGTTTTGAGCCATCTTTGCATTGTCATTGTAGGTTTATGTAAATATAAACTTGTCTTTGTGTATTTGAGAAAATGGAAAAATAGAGGAAGAAAAATTAGGAATTAAGACTTTAAAAGATTAATTACTTCAACACCCTTTTCTTTGACCCCTTTAAAGGCCAGCAACACATTATAGAAGCATAGTTACATATTTTGCAACATAGTTAATAGAAAGTACATACTGTTTACCTAGTGCAAATCAAAACCTCTTTAAACTGGGAGTTCAGGCCACTGAAATGTGGGATACAAATCCATAGCTTTTTATACATGTGGAACAGTACACTTTAAAGGAAGGTCTCATCAATTTTTTTTCTTTTGCAGGTGATAACCAGCTGCTGAGACACCACTTGTAATGATTTAAAAGCTCTAGAAAGGCAATATAATGGTTAAGAATGTGAACTTTGGAGCAGAAATGCTCCAGTTAAACTTCTAGGACTGAGCAAGTTATCTGTGTCCTTCTATAAAATGAACAATAGAGGGTTGAGTGCCTAGTATGTAGCAACCACTGGGGATGCAATAGTGAGCAAAACAAATTAGAATTCTGGTTTTTTTAGATTAATTGTGGCTTTGAACAGGCCCCTGGCATGTGACACTCAGATTATTACTATTTTAATACCACTTTAAACTTATAAAGATTAAAGAATTTTTCTAGTCCCCTACTCTTTGTTAATACTTGGTTGTCTTGTAAATATTTTGAAGATTCGTATACTACAGAAACTTGACTTGATACTTTGTACATTGGAAAAAATCAGTGGTGTTTTTGTGGTTATTTGTTGTTGTTTTGTTCTTAAATTTAACCTATAGGAAAATTATGATTGGTATGTAGGTTTATCTTCAGAAGTTATTGTGAGAATCACACAATGAAACTTATAAAAAATCCCAGATCCAAAAAAAGAACTTTAGCAAGGAGACAACTGTTGGGCGAGGGTACACCTGTTCTACAAATATGAGGTCAAAGAGGCATTGATGTAATTGTACTTTTTGTGTCGTGTACCTGTTTATCTTGAATTATTTCTGAAACCCTCCAATTTCAAATATTAAGATGTAGTTATTTTTAATGAAGTGCTTATTGTCACACTGTCTACCCATTGATAGTTCCTTTGATCAAGCCTTTGAGTTTGTTTTGTTCTAAAGCTTATGTTCTTGCAATTTTTTGTATGAATATTTCTTAGACCGAGTAGCCTTATCAGTTTACTGTTTGTTTTTGTGCTTTTTCTTATATTTATTTAGATCAGCTGTAGTATAGTCTAATAAGGCACTTTATTAAACAACATAATCAAGACTGGGAACTCCAAGTTGGTTGATGGTATTAGGGAGCCGTAATAATTTTACTACTCCCATTAAACAAAATAACTATAGTTACATGTTTTGGGGAAGTTTAAAGAATTTCAGGTTACATAAGATACACTGAACCAAGCCTAAAAGCATAGCTCATGCTTTGAGTATTCACAATGTCTCGGAACTGTTTGAAACATTTGCGTTAACTCAGTTAATTTTACAACAACCCAAGGAAGCAGGTACTATTACCCCCATTTTGAGATTAGAAATCTTGAGACACAGGTTTAAAAAAAAAACAACCAGGGTCATATCAGAACTGGGATTAGAATCTAGGCAGTCTGGCTCCACTGGGTGTCCTCTTAATCACTACATTATCATGTCATCCTTTAAGTTCTTGGTATTCAAAAAGGTTTTCTTTTGCATGTGTCATTCCAATAATAGCTTGGTCTTAGCATCTACTACATACTAAACACAGTTTCTAAACCCTTTATGAGTATCAACTCATTTAATCTTTACAACAACCCCGTGAGATAGATGCTGTTACTCTATTTTATACATGAGGAAACATGCTCAGAGAGGTTAAGTTACTTGTCTATAGCCACACAGCTAGTAACAGATTCAGATCAGTCTTCCTCAACTCAAACTCTTAAACTCCATGCTGCTATGTTGAACCACTTCATTTCTTGTTTTATAGTTAGGTGAGTGAATGTCATTAGTCTTGCTACTTAAAATAAGGTGTCTCTTCTACTTAGCATTCAAATGGGATTTAACTTTACTCTTAGGTTGTAACTTTTGTGAATTTACTTTTTAGCTATCATGAGTTTTGAAAGGATGAGTGCATTTCTTTTTGTCGTCTCTTCAGGAACTGGGAACTCTCATATGTGCTAGCTGATGACTTAGGGTTATCTTAAACTTGACCCCAGTGAGCCTCTAGATTGGAAACTATATCTTACATGTGTTTCTTACAAGATCCTCAAGACTTGTCTGTTGCCAGGTAATTTAATTTGTAGGACAGTTGTATGACTGAGGGGTGCTGATCATATAATGACCTCAACAAAATTATTTAATTTGAATAATGAAGACTGACTTTAGTACTGTGTGCTTTGGTTTCATCACGTTCACTTGCATTGCTAATTCTAGTTTTGTTATTTGTATAAAGACAGTTGAAAACTTGCTAGCACTAGGGGAAAAACTTATTAGGTGTACCTATTGCTAGTTTGTGTTAATTCATGGGTTTAGGTGTCACTGGTTATCTAAGATACAGTTAACTCTTGAGAATTTCTCAAAGCATTTCACTTACAGAAGAGAGTAGGTTCCTAGTACTGAGATTAAAATGTTCTCAGATTAAATTCTTACATCTTAAACCAGGTTTTGCATTCTATCATATATGTAGTGTATTACATTTATATGTTACAATGTTTAGCAGAGTTTTCAAAAAATGTAGGTACACAGATGAGGTCTTACTAGACTTAACTGAGTTTTCTGGAAACAAGGCATAATTTTCAAGTGCTTCTTAGGGACATTTCTGGAGCTTCCCTCTGGTTGCAAACCACACACGTAGGGAATGATCATTTAATCAATACTTACTGAGGTTTTTCTGTGTTTGGCACAGTAGTCTCGTCCCAGGGGATAAAAAATAAGTAAGCCTGTCATTACCTGTGAGAATCTTTGCTTTGAGAGGCAGAAGTAGCATATAAACATAGGGTGTTTGCACCTCATACAACTTTTATAGTATTATATAACAAGTAGGGAAACCGTTTTTATTATTTTTATTTATTTATTTTTAGAGAGAGGGGAAGGGAAGCGGAAAGAGTGGGAGAGAAATATCAATGTATGATTGCCTCTCATGCGTCCCCTGCTGGGAATCGAACCCCAATACTCTGGTTCGCAGGCCGCGCTCAATCCACTGAGCTGCGCCAGCCAGCGCGGGAAAATGTTTTTTAAAAGAAATTATAATAGGTGTCTTCATTCACATATAAAGATAGGTTCTAAATATCTTTATTGCACTGCATTTTGTCGTTGTTACAGTGGGATTTTTCTCTGCTAATTTTATTTCCCTTTGCCAAAAGAAACCAGTGTTTTTAAATTAGCAAAATGAATTTTTATTTTTAAACTGGGAATTTTGTGTTCTTGCCTTGGTTTTGCTACTAGAGCAAAGATTTCATTTAGATACATTTAGTGAGTATTAGCCGATTTATCCTGTTAGATAAGATTTATTCTCAAAATATTTTATATTTTGCCCA